AGATAATTCCTTGAGAAAGAAAAGATAGTTTTTTTCTTTCCATACAGTTTCTTGAATGTTATCTTCCAAACTCATACTAGACTGACTTTTCCTTTCTGATCATAAAGATACTGCAGAAGAAACTATGCCCTCAGAGACACCCACACAACACCACTCCCCTCCAATAACGCTATGCAGTTAGAGCTTGGCTTTCTCTCTCATTGCTACAACCTTAGCCCATCTTACAACATAAGCAGCTTGCAGTAGGTAATCACAGTAAGAGTTTTCAAAGTTCTGCCTATTCTTAGCATCAATACTTTAAACATAAATATCTGTAGGAACCACAGGCATGAATCCTCAGACACAGTAGCAAGGTATAGCTATGTAAAAATTTCAGGCTGACATAGTACACCAGTGCCTGGATATAGATTCTCATGTCTTGTGTAATTCAGCCATTTGGAGTAACTCCTTACTTTGCTCTGAATGAAGGAGAGAGAGAAAAAGCAGTCAATTCTTTCTTTTACCTACATAAAATATTTTCCAATGCCTAGTCAATATGCCTTGTCTTAACTTATACCAGGCTTTCAGAGGTTGCTTCCATGGGCTCAGAAAGAGAATAACAGGAAGCATAAATTAGTCAAACAGAAATATCTTCTCATAACCACAAAGCAGATCCATTCTGAGATGCAGTCAAGTCCATGTTGGTGAAAGAAACCAGAGTGACAGAAAGAAAATCCACAATCCTCTTGTCCTTCACCTTAGCTCAAACTCATGACAGAATTTATAGCTCTGCAATGATATGCTTAGCTTTTGTTCTGTTGTATTGTACTGCAGCAGCGACAATTTATCCCCTATGCTCTTTTAGTTTTGTATACAAGCATGTTCTTTCCCGTCCACTTCCTCCTCCAATCCACCCAGAATTCTCACACTTTTGATATTTTCTTTGTTGAATGAACATTTCCTCTCCTCTTCATTCTGCTGTTAACTGCAAGTGCTTAAGGTGCCACACTGTTGAAGGAAACAATTTCCAAAGGGGAACTATTTCTGGTTCACACCTGTTCAAGGATTTTCACAGGACTAAGTGCATGGTATAACCCAAAATCATTTGTATCCCTCAGGTGAAAGGAGGATAGTCTCTCCACATAGTGGATAGTCTCTTTACCAAAGCTCCTCTATGGAGAAATGCTGGCTTTTTTTCTACTGGTCTTTTACTCACCAAAATCTAATTGCTCATCAGTTGGGCACACTTTATCTATCCACCCCACCTACAACCAATTGAAGCAGGACTGCAGAAATTATGAGCCTTGATTTCAATGTATCTGTGCCAGGCTGATCACAGGGGTGAGAAGGACATAGTGGGCACACACTGCGGACTAATCACAGCTGTCACCTCTCTATTCAGCATAAAGGCAGTCTGAATTATTCCCTGGCATTTGGTACCTTCCACTGCAATGGGGCATCTTTGGTCGGGATACTAACAGCGTTTTGAACACCTGCTACTTTTCCTTTATTGTTACTAGTATTGATCTGTAACAAATGTGGATAGAGCCTTCCCAAATCTTCGTTCGTGAAGCCTAGCCATGATGATGATGATGATTGACACTTGTCTATTCAGGCCAGCCAAAATTCTACTGCAAAACTTGTGAATTTAAAGAGGTGGTGTAGCCCTACGATCAAGAGACTCTCATCCAACTGAAAAAAAGTATACATCACTGTTTTACCAGAGCCAGTGGGTTTTTACCAAAAAAAAAAAAAAAAAAAGGTGGGAGCGGGAGTGGATTTTTCAACAGTGTTTAGACATTCCTCAGGAGTCATGATCTCTATTTACAGTTGTGTCTTTCTTCATGAGAATCATTACATTTTCCTTCCCCTCAGTGCTAAGGCCTCTCCATAATATCAAGTGCCTAGATTCTTTAAATGATCCCGTTCCAATCATCACATCATATCAGAAAATGGTTTATAAACACGAATTACCTTTCACAATTTACATCGAGGAGAAAAACGGGTACAAAAGTTCCCAATGCAAAATATTTCCCTTGAAAGTAGACTTCAAAGCAGGTACATTACTAACAGAACCAGAGGAGACTCAGGTATCTTCAGGAGAGCACGTGATTTACAGACTAGGAGCTGAAAAATGAGGCATTTCACAAGGTTAATAAGCTACACACAGTAACACTGTAAAGAGCAAGAGATGTGGTTCTTACTTGTCCTTCCCCCACCCTCCCTAACTAATCTTTAATCAGATAAATTGTCATGGCAACTTGATTTATACACCAAGGATAAGACAAGTCGACAAGACAAGTCGATTCCCCTTGGGGAACTAGTGAATAGAAAGAGTCCTGCTTGTTCTGACACTGGCAGAGACTAAAGCTAAATGCCCTTCCCTGTCACAGGTTCACGACATACTGCCAGAGCAACTTCTACCTGCAGTGGTATTCCCCATCAGACACTCTTGCTCAGGGTACAGCCATGAGCCTCCAGTTTATGTCAAAGTCAAGACTGCATTGTTTGGAAAAGGTCCTCTCATGTGCACTTTACAACCTTTTACTACATGAGAGTTGAGTTCAAAAAGAAATCACGACTCTCTGAAATGAAGAGTGCTGTACACAGCGGAGTGCACTCTTTCAAAGGGGCGCTGGACTTGCTGCGTGTACTGAACACAATGGATACTGTCCCTGTAACTCTCAGTGAGGTGATTGACCCTCATACTAGTAACACAGCTACCCTGAGTATCATGTAAACATATACCACAAGAGGGAAGACACAATTCTTCCACCAATTTTTAAGAATGCTTTCTTTGTAAAAGAAAGCTTTTGCAAGTCCAAACTTGCACAGCACAGTAGGCACTACACAATTAAAAAAAAATAAACACATACCACAGCAGATAAATAGGCATTTATTAAAGTTCATCTCAAACCAAACAAAAATAATAAAGGACATTAAGGCATCTTGTATTCAATAGCAGTTTATATAGTAAATATGACTTCTCTTTCTCATACAAGAGAGGCAGATTAGGAAAAAAAAAAAAAAAGAGCTCACCCAAAAAAGAGTTCTCCCAATATGTTTGACAAATTGCTGATTTCCACTGTCCCACCACTCAGTCAGCAAACCCCTCTAAAGAATGCCCATTTCTCCAGTGAAAGAGCTACAAAATCCCAACACTTATTGAGACACTGCAAGAAAGCACTTTTCCTGCCCCTCAGACATCCAGCCACCTGTAAAGATGCACACTGGAGAAAGACCAACAGATGGGATATTGCAAGAGTAAAGAAGACACACTTCTGCTATAACCATTCATTTCTGAGCAGACTAGAATATCTGGCCTTGCTTTCACTAGTATTTACTATTTTAACTAGTGAAATGAGACCACAAGCTCTAGTCTGTTTAGCAATGCAACACTTTTAATGTTCTCCTTCTATGTTCATATTAGATAAAGAAATGACAAAGGTCTGATTTCCATGGAATAATTTATTTTGATGAATTAAACTGTCAAGTGACCAATCACTGTTATAGTGCTTTTTTCTTCAATTGGAATAAGAACATCAGGAAATGTTTACAGTATCATTGGGTTCACTATAACAGGATTTTACTACAGACTAAAATATAAATTAAGAAACACTGCAGCACTATTCACTTCACCACACTGGCTCTCTATATCCTTGATCACAATCTAACCTTCATTTAAGGCAAGTTTGTTGTTTTGTTTTTTTTTTCCAAAGAAGACTACATAGTCTCTAGATAAACTTGTGTGACTAGATTTACAAGTTAGGAAATCGAGCTTTATAAAATGTTTACTTCAGCAAATACAAAAGTTATTAAGAGAGAGATGGTGACCCAAAATTGCACTGTATTAAAAGGTGGAGTTTCCTTGTACCAAAGTCCTTTATTCATCATCTTTAGAACCAGTTTTGCTTAACTATAAAAGAGACACAAAAAGAAAGTATTCAAAGTTTAGACTGCCATTCCATTTATTAGGAAACAAGAACAACTTTATCTCCATCTCACATTGAACACATGTATACTTAATTAACAATACAGACTGTGCTACTGTACCAAGAGACTGAAAAGCATCAGAATTAATTCTTAAACTTAAACACTAAATGAGCTTACTTCCTGAACATGAAAGTTGAATTTTAAAAAAACCAGCAACAAATTTCAGAAAAACCTCAGGGTACTGTTTCTATTTAATTTGAAGGCTCCATCACAAGCTCTCCAAAATAAAAAAGATGAAGTAATGGAACATTATTTTCACACATCTCTGAGAGAATTCCCATATAGAAATTTAAACAATATAAAAACAGACATTAACTTCATATTTCTCAGTTTTTAAAGCTAAATTTAAAACTATTAAATGCAGTATGCCTGTTATGAAATCTATCTGGAATCCAAGATATCCACTACAAATAGGCGCTTACAACTTAGAAGGACTCTGCCCAAAACCACCCTCATCATTTGCTTGCTCTTATTTAACAACTGGAACTGGTATTAGGCCTTACACTGAAAATTACTCACAGTTGTGTAAAATAAAATAGTTTGCTTTTAAAATTGTCAAGCAGTGATTTTCACTGAATCAGCAAATACAAGAGCATGGAAAAATTCAGTGCTGAGGGGCAAATAGAAAATAATTATCCACTGGAGTAGTTGTAGCAGAGAATTGGGCTTGTAGGAGACAGTAAGTTGCTCCCACTTGGCACAGCTCCCTTTTTCTGCTTACTTATCCACTGCTCTCCAGAACCCAGCAGCACCACTAATTTTATTTTGAATCTTGTTCTCATAGAAGACAGTATACTTGCAGTACATTTGGTTAGCAAAGCCCTCTCATCATAAAATTAAAATTTAGCTGCTCAGTAAATAAATACTAAAACAATCAAGGTGAAAAGAGCAACCAAAGTCCTGACTAATATTCGGAAGGACTAGCACTTTAAAGCATTTGAGAAATACATAATTTAGAACCCAAAATAAGCAACTGTTCTTACTCTTTCTTTACTTACAGTAAAAAAAGATAACTTGAAAATACTTACATGCTGGACACATATAGAAATTAATCAGACACCATAGTCAAATCCAAACATAGTTGGAAGAAAAGCAAGAAAAAACATATCAGATCAGTCTTCTTCAGATATAAGTACAAATCATTTTTAATGTACATACACAGTAGTTTCATAATATTGCATATAATACAGTCATGTTACCTTAATTACGTCCACCCAGTTCCATCCTCGTGGAAGCTCCCCTTTGTTATCTGCAGAATAAGAAGGTTTTATTTTCAACACACAAGCTAAGGGGAATATTTATCTTTCTTCAAAATCAAGGTACAAAATTCTAAATATCCAAACTCCTCGATTTCTCCACTATGAAGCCATGAGGACAAAACAGCTTTTTCTTTAACCAACCCCAAGTGAATGCATGAGACGAAATGGCCTTAAGCTGTGGCAGAAGAGGTTAGACATTATAAAAACATTTTTCACTGACAGAGTGGTTAGGTATTGGAATAAGTTGCCCAGGGAGGTGGTGGAGTCGCCATCTCTGGAAGTGTTCAAGAGACATCTGGATGTGGCACTTGGGGATACAGTTTAGGGATGATTATGGTGGTGCTGGGTTGATGGTTGAACTGGATGAACTTGAAGGTCTCTTCCAACCTTGATGGTTCTGTGATTATGTGATTCAAAGTAATTCCGTTTGAATAAAAACACCTCAGTCCACCTGAAATTTAACTTAGAAGGTAACTCTAACATGAGCTGGGCTGACTAGCAATGATGAATTCTGTCAAAGAACAAAATTTTATGCAGCTTTTCCTCTATACAGTTTACATTAAGTCTACCAACTATACATTAGGTTAGGTAGATTATATGCAGAAACCTCTATCACAGGGTACAACTTATTGCTGCAATAGGATTGTATTATCCAGATCATTAGTAAAAGCTAAGGCTGAACACGACTCATCAGCTGAATCAACTGAAGTAACCAACAGCTTTCAATCAAAACACTACTATTTCATTGAAAGCATTAAATATCTGCAGAAGCACCTCTATTTCTAAAATACAAACTAAATCAGATGTTTTATTTTGGGTTTGAAAACAAATACTTTCATTTAGAAATTACATTTTTAATAACGTGAATTATTTATGAGGGCCCATCAAAAAAATACATCTTCTGTTGATAGAGGTCCTAAATCCTCTCCTCCAACAAGTATTGAAAATTTCACTTCTGTCAAAAATTGAATTAAAAAAACCCTAGAAGACAATGACATTGTGAAATCCCTACTCTGTAGAAAGTTGCTTTAACTAGAACCAACATCTCAGGCAAGAATAATTCACATAGAACAAGTAAAACAGAGACCACAGACTTAAAGCAGTTAATCTTATAAACAAATGAGTACTGACTCTGACTCCAGCAAGATGTAATTCCTATAAAATTTGGATTTTCATACTGACCAAAAAAAGAATATTATAGTAAACAAACCTGTTTTATCAGCTAGCTTTCGTTTCTGGGTTTTGGATAACTGTTCCTTTTTCTCTTTTTTCTTACTTGCAGGCACATCAGGAGTTCCAATTGCAATACTATTGCTTACTGAAGTCTGAGAAAGATAAAAGTGGTTGTAAATATTTGCATATTAGTTCCGTGAATACCTCTGTGTGGTGTGATTACCAAACCTGACATACTGAAATATCCTGGCTGTCAGAAAGAAGTAATGTTGTCAGCAGCCTGCAGCTTTTAATCAACATACAATCAGGACCATAGTTTTGAAAAACATGTGTTGCGGATTAGAATTATTCTCTTTTACAGTTGGAAAAGGCACCTCTTACACTTTTCAAATTTATCATGGAGTGTGATTTACATTTTAGTGAGGGGATTCAGGCTTCCCAAACATGGAAATAATTTGTCCTTCCTCAGAGCAAATCTGCAGCACTATGATGGCAAATAATGTCCTTACAGAACACAGAAACTACAAATTGACTCAGTCTGACTCCTTAAGACCCTGGAGGTGCACTTATGCAATCCATTGCATTTCAGAAGGGCTGCAGTAAATTGCCACCCTTCCAACCCTCAGCAGACACCTTAAATCTCTGTTTCAGCTTCCTTTAGTTTTGCTTCTGCTCCAAGTCTCCATTTTTATGTCACCGTGTGGGACATAACAGCAGCCCACAAACATTTCGGTATAACAACAAAGTAACAATCAAATATAACAACTGTGACCACAGAGCACTGCGGCACCATACTCTGTGTGACAATTTTAGCCACTAATGTGTATACCCAATGAACTGATTTACAACCTAAAGAGAGAGCTATAAAGTATTCAGAGAAATAACAACCATTTTTTTTTCAGTTTTAAAAGCACAAAAGCAAAACCTGAATTTATCTACTTACCACAGTGTTAACAGGCTGATTTTCCATGAACACATCCTTATTGTCTTTGGCATATTCAAAAAGTGTGTATGTCATAGCAGTTCCAAGATTCGCTTCAACTTCTACCATTAACTTCTCCAATATACTTTGCTTAATAGCTGCAGATCTAAAAGAAACCATTAAACTAAACTATAAACTAGACAGATGAAGAAAAGTTTACCAAACAAAAAGCCCCCACGTACAAGGCCAAGGAGTGAAGCTGTCATAAATACTTACATCGTGTTGTTGAAGAAAGCATCCATCGATATGACTGGTGCTGTTTGTGGATATGTTTCTGGCCAAGAAACTTCTATTAGAAAGGCTTTGGGATCACCACTTTCACCTATCTGAAAGGAAAAGAAAAACTTTATCTGTTTCCAGTCACCTACTAAGAATTACAATATCAATACAGAAGTCTTTTATTTCTTTTAGACCAACCAAATTTCTTGAGACAACAACTATTTTCATAAAGTTATCAGTCAGAAAATAAAGCTGTTATCTAGAAAAAGCATTTCGAAGCACACTGATTACAAAACAGCTGTGCTCCGTATGCGAGACAGGTGCAAGACATGACGGTCTGAAAGATGGCATACGAATTTTTTGTCATTCACTTACCTGCGTTACGCCTTCTCGTAATACAAATCCTTCTTCGGGGGAGAGGTGTATTATTGTCTTCGTCTGACACTGTTTTACTGCATTTAAATTGAGTTTTCCTAACTTTTGGCAATTATTTTTCATCTAATAAAAATTAGAAATGACCAAAGCTAGTGAAATGTAAAACGACACACTGTAGACTTGTAGGCATGTCACATTTCCCCTTCTGAGGAAATTAAATTTACTAAGAATGATCCTATCAGTGAAGAAAGGCTGCACTTACATGGATGGGACTATTAATTAAATTGAGCTATTAATTAAATTGACCCATATCTCATTACAATTACTGACACTATTCTTAAGTTATTTGAGAAGTCACAAAAAGGTGATTCTAGATGTCTTCTCGCCAGTACATGCATATGGTATTTCCAGAAGTCTCCCTTCTGTCCCATGGGTGCCTAAATTTTCGTCAGTAAAGTCCTCCGGCCATCCAAAGATCTGCCTCAGTCTGTGCTCAGAAGAACGTCCAGGTCTTTAAATCTGAGAAAGCTGGCGAGAATTTCATGCCATAATCTAGCTGCATATCTTGAGCTTGGCACTCCTTGTATGTCTCTCCTGAGCAGAACGGTACCAGTGCATGTGCCCAAAGCATTTCATGGATTTTCTCTTTAGCAGGTAGACAGAGCATGTCCAGCTGCCTCTGGATGAGAGACTGGAACCTTGTAACTGAGCGGCAATGAAGGTTTAAAGTTTTACACGCAAACATCTCTGTAAGTCTCTACATTTCTGACCAGCCAGGGGACATATTACTCAGCAGGCTGGCTCCTTCAGAGAGTTTGATAATTCTCACTACACCAGGCATAGAGATGCAAGGCTAAGGGATAACTGGCTTGTAGTGCCAAGCAATAGGATGAGAGGTAAGGGGCAGAAAGGGATGTACTGGAACTTCCATCTGAAAATAAGGAAGGACTTCTTTACTGTGTGGATAACCAAGCAGTGGAACAGGTTGCCCAGATTGGTTCTGGAGTCTCTCTCACTGGAGATATTCAAGAACCATCTGGATACAATTCTGTGCAATGTATTCTAGGATGACCCTCCTTGAGCAGGAAGGTTGGACCACATGACCCTCTGTGGTCCCTTCCAACCTCATCCATTCTGTGATAAACCCACACTGGGAGCAGGGTCCTAAACATGAATTATGAAGCATCACTGTACCAAAGATTCTGAAACAGCAGCCTACGGATCTACCCTTCATTGAACATCGGACACCTCTTCGGCTTAGAAACCCCTGGTACGGCAACTACAAGGCAGCAAAGTAACTTCAGGGTGCAACTTCGCCTTACCCTGTACTGGAAGGACACGGGGCTGAGCTCCCTGAAGCACACATCTCCCTCGTAGATGGAGCGCAGCGCCTCCAGCTCCATCTGCAGCCAGGGCAGAGCAGGGGTTACTGATCGCGGCCCCGCACGGCGCTCGCACCCGCCCGCGGTGGGTGCGCGAAGCCGCGCCCGGCCCCGCCACCCTCGGCTCCCTCCTCCCGCCCCTCACTGCTCCAGCACCGGCCGCCTCCCGCGCCGCCCACCCTCCCCATCCGGCGGCTCCATCCATGCATCCATGCATCCATGCATCCATGCATCCATGCATCCATGCATCCATGCATCCATGCATCCATGCATCCATGCTCCCTCTCTCCCTCTCTCCCTCTCTCCCTCTCTCCCTCTCTCCCTCTCTCCCTCCCTCCCGTCCTGGGCCCGCTCTCTCGCAGTGAGCAGAGCCTAGGACTCACCTCCTGGTCCTCGTTGGCCGCCATGGCCTCAGCCCCACTCTCCGTGGCCCGGCTCGTGCCCGTTCCCGCCGGGGCTGGGCGGGCCTGGCTGCGCGGCCCCACCGCCCCCGCACGGACACGCCTTCAGCGGGGCACCGCCCCCTGCTGTCCCATTGGCCCGCTGCGCGCTCGCCCGCGCTTCCTCCCTCCGCTCACTGGCTCCTTGGCCAGTGACGTCCCTCCTGACTGGCCCGGGCGGTGCAGCCGAGGCGTCGATTGGCCGCTCGCGCTGCCCTTCCGACGCCGCCCGGCGCTCGCTTCCTGAGGCGGGGCCCGCCCGCGCTGCCTCCCGTGACCCGCGGCCGCTCCCAGCTGGTGCTTCCCGGCGCGTCCCGGCTCTATCCCGCCGCGGTAGGCGGCGTTCCGAGGAGGACGGACCCCGGACAACGGGGCGCTCCTGCGGCCGGCCTGGGCCGCCCTCCCGCCCCCTCTGTCCCGCTGGTCCGCGGGCCGCCGTGCCGGGTGCAGGATGACCCCGCCGACGCACTGGGACTTCCCGGTAGAGCTGTGCTGCCGGCCCATGGCATTCGTCACGCTCACCGGCCTGGACGTGGTGTATAACGCCGTGCACCGCGCCGTGTGGGACGCCTTCTGCGCTAACCGCAGGGCCGACCGCGTCCCCATCTCCTTCAAAGTGCTGCCCGGCGACCACGAGTACCCCAAGTGCAGGACGAAGGTACCGAGTGCCCCCAGTCCCGCAGGGCTCCAGCCCGTTGTCCCCGCAGCACGGCCTCGGGAGTGAGGACGCGGGAGTTGGTGTCTCCCTGAGGGAAGGGCCGTGGGCTGGTCTGCAGGGTCCGCAGGGTCCGCAGGCGGCCGAGCACCGCGCCCGGCCGGACCTGTGCTTCTTCTTCCCCCGCTGTTGGAGGGGAAGCGTGGGAGCTTCAAGTCAGGGAAATTGTGAGGGTGAAGGGGAAGCCAAGGGTGTTGTGAGGGAGCGCAATGGGTGCATAGGAGACCGGGTGCCTTAGCTCGTGAGCCAGATGCAGAGGAAGACAGTGTGGTTTGCATTTTAAAGTACTTGCTGTTCTTTGACTCAGCACTAAGGCACCTTGTAAAATTTGAGCTATACTGAAACCTCAAGTTTAACTCTGGAGAAATTAGATATTTGGAATTAGTGTGTTCTGAAAACAGCATGAAGCCTTTAACTAAGTGAAACACAGCAGAAGGAATATTTCTGCTCTACTCTCTGCTTTGCAATGGCAAGTTAAGAAGCAATGTCAATGGATTTAGCCCTTGGAAAACTACATAATTCCATGATGCTGGCAAAGGCAAAGAATTTAAACTGGTGTGTCCTTGCTCTGTTTGAGAGCCCTGTTTTAAATTGAGCCTAATGTTTCATGGCACTATGTGAAACATGCTTCTGAACTTGACCCTTCTCCAGTCTACCTGGAATATGTTGTTCTTTGCTGCTGCTATCTCAGACATAAAGTCTTGATGCCAGGAATCAAGGGATATGCCTTAATAGGGAGCAAAGGCTCACGGGGAGGAGTGTTAAAGGAAATTGACAAACATATTCTCAAGTGACAAGAATGTAGAGGCAATTCTTTTTCTCCTGCTACAAATGTTTGTAAATGGATTTGGTAGCTTGCTTTAATATCCTCAATATTTTCAGAGGACATCCTATGAATGGTATATTCCAAAAGGAATCCTGAAGACTGGTTGGATGAACAAACACCTGAATTTGGTTCCAGCACTTGTGGTGGTATTCTATGAACTAGACTGGGATGAGCCACAGTGGAAGGAAAAGCAGTTGGAATGTGCTACTCGAGTTGAAATTGTCAGGTAGACTTTTTTCACTTGGTTCATAATGTAGTAAAAGCTAATGTAAGTGTAAATTGCAGAATATAAAACATATCTTTTTTTTTCTTAAACACAAATTAAGGGGAACTTGAGCTTTGCTCTTTAACATACAACTGACAGTAAAAAAGCTTTTTTTAACAGTTTATTTGTAAAAGTTACTTAAGTAAAAACAGCCCCTGAAATTTTGCTTGCTAAACTCAGTGCAATTATCCTCTCCCAAAAAAGGGAACACAGCATTCTGTGAATGATGTAGTATATTATTATGTTTGGCTTTTTCTCCTATGTAACATTCTTCTAGTGCTTCCATCTAGACTGAAATCTCATTTTGTTCTGATTATTCAGAATTAAGAAGTGAAACCTTGACACTGTGCTGTGTTGTCTTAATTTTAGGCAAAGTTTGCAGGGAAGAAATACGAAAGTCGCTGTGGTTTTGATTCAGAAAAAAACGCCATTACCTCCAGGTACTTGAAAACTCTGTGCACAGTTGTGAAGTTCTTGTTTTTCGGAAGACCCAAGGGACTGAGCTGACTATTGTTTGTCACATTATCTGCAGTTCTTCATCTAATGTCTTCCACATATATTAAATATGACTGTAGGAAAGTGTAAGGATAAAAAGCACTCAGGGCGGTTGACCCTAAACATTTGATACTTTTCTCCTTAACATCTTCCTCTCAAGTCCAAGTCTGATTTTTGATACACAGTATCAAAGATGGTTTACTAGTGCAATGCACATGAGGTGCCTTCTTGTAAGCAAGTTACATTTTAAACTTTGCTTAAGATCAAGAAAAGCAGTAAAAGCATTGAGAGCTTAGAGGAAAGGTATTTGGTACCTACAAAGGTCTTTCATCTTAACTCTGTTTCAGTCAATAAAATTTTGGAGCCAAGTGGAGCTGTGCAATGTGATACACTTTAACCTTACATTTCTGTAGAGCTGCTGCTTCAGCTGTAGCTGTACACTTTTGAGTGTTTGGCAAAATGTTTTTTTTTGTTTTTGCTCTACCTGCTGTATGTGTTTGACTTTTCTGGATGCTGTTGTATTTCTCAAGACAGAGGGTATTTAATTTTGTGAGAGATGAAAAACTTATGTAATACTTGTAGTTTTTTGCTAGAAACTGCTAGAAAGTTTCTGCAATGTGTTCTGCTGGATGAAGCACATAGTATTCTGAAAGAAGTAAGAAAGAATGTGATCTTGGTTTTAACTTTAGTAGATTTTTCCATATCTTTTAGAGCTTTAGGTCTACCTAAGGTTTGACTTTTAAGCTTTTAGAGCTAGTTTGACATTGTGGCACCACATACCACTTACTTGTGCTTTCCTTGACTTCTCTAGGGGAAGATGTTATTGCATCAGAGAGGGCAGCAGCTTTATGTAATGCTTGTGACCTTTCTGGAAAATCACTCTTTGTACTTCCACACACTGATCATCTTGTTGGCTATATCATAAGGTAAGCACTGTTTTGCTCTGTTTGCTGATTGTGGGTAGGTTTACACAACACCAGGCCTGCTGGCGACAGCTGGTGTACACTTGTCTCAAATGGGGGAAAGAGTTAGCTGAGCTCGTTAAAAGGGCTTTGAACTAGACTTAAAGGGGGAAAGGGTTAAAACCAGGTAAGCCTGGGGACAGCATGCCAGTGTATTGGTGTGCTAGTGAGGACCTTCATTCTGCTGGGTCATTGGAAGTAGGGGATGGAACTTCATGTGGCAGTGAAGACACAAGGGTTATGGCTGTGTTAGGAACCATGGAAGTGTCTGAGAATGATCACGTAGGAATTAGGGCTTCTCCCCTCAAAAAGATGGTGGGATCAATAGCCCAGCTGAAGTGCATCTAAACCACTGCACAGAGCATAGGCAACAAACAGGAGGACCTGGAAGCTCTTGTACAGCTGGAAAACTATGATCTGGTTACCATCATGGAAATATGGTGGGATGATTTGCACAAGTGAAGTATTGCAGTGGATGACTATAAACTCTTCAGAAGGGAAAGACAAGGAAGGAGAGGCAGTGGGGTAGCCCTGTATGTTAGGGAGTGTTTTGATTGGGAGTGTTTCAATTGTCTAGAGCTTAATGATGGTGATGATAGGGTTGAGTGTTTATGGGAAAGAATCAGGGGGGAAGGCCAACAAGGCAGGTATCCTGCTGAAAGTCTGTTACAGATCACCCAACCAGGATGAAGATGCAGATGAAATATTCTATAAGCAGCTGAGAGAAGCCTCATAATTACTAGCCCTTGTTCTCATGGGAGACTTCAGCTTACCAGATGTCTGCTGGAAATACAACACAGCAGAGAGGAAAGAGTCTGGGAGGTTCCTAGAGTGTGTGGAAGAGAACTTCCTGACACAGCTGGTCAGTAAGCCAACTAGGGAAGGTGCCTACTGGATCTGCTCTTTGTAAACAGAGAAGGACTTGTGGGTGATGTGATGCTTGGAGGTTGTCTTGGGCACAGCAATCACAGAATGACAGCATTTTAGATTCTTGGAGAAGTAAGGAAGGGGATTCAATATCCCGCTACATTGGACTTCTGGAGGGCAGAGTTTGTCCAGTTTGGGAGACTGGTTGACAGAGTCCCTTGGGAGGGAGTCCAGGAAGGCTGGACATTCTTCAAGAAGGAAATATTAAAGGTGCAGGAGCAGGCTGTCTCCTGTACTGAAAGACGAGCCAGCGAGGAAGACTGTTCTGGCCTGAACAGAGAGCTTTGACTGGAACCTGGGGAAAAAAAGGAGAGTTTATATCCTTTGGAAGAAGGGGCAGGCAACTCAGGAGAACTACAAGGATTTCATGAGGTTATGCAGGGAAAAAAGGAAAAGGGCCAAAGCCCAAATAAAACTTAATCTGGCTGCTGCTGTAAAAAAAGAAAAGCAAAAACAAACAAATCACACACAAACAAACAAACAAACAAAACCCCAAACAAACAATTAAAAATGTTTCCATAAGCACATTAGCCACAAAAAGAGGGCTAAGGAGAATCTCCATCCTTTATTGGATGTGGGGCAAAACATAGTAACAAAAGAAGAGAGGTACTTAATGCATCCTTTGCCTCAGTCTTTAATAACCGGACCAGTTGTCCTCAAGGTACCCAGCCCCCTGAACTGTCAGACAGAGACAGGGAGCAGAATGAAGCCCCCGTAATCCAAGGGGAAATGGTCAGTGGCCTGCTACACCACTGAGACATGCACAAGTCTGTGAGGCCAGATGGGATCCACCCAAGGGTACTGAGGGAGCTGACAGAAGTGCTCAGTGAGCCACTTTCAGTCATTTACCAGCAGCCCTGGTCAACCAGGGAGGTGCCCAGTCT